TTTTTAATAAATTCTTGAAAATGTTAAAAAAGAGAGAGAGAGAAAGGGGGCCCGTGCTCGTTCTCAACGTTCATGTTAACAACACTATAATATTCAATAGCATATAAACTTCCACAGTACAACAGTATAATCCTTAATACAATGGTAACTTTTCTCAGAGAATCATATAGTCTTCTACAGTAACTTAAACATTTTCATATTGGCATTCTAATTTTACACTCATTTATACTGAGCCACTTTAAAGAAAGTTGATAAAATTATTACATACAATTCTACAATAACACAATTTTTCAGAAATGATACAAAATACAAGTCCTATTTACAGTACCAAATACTTGGAAGTAAATTCTATCATGTTTCCATTTTTCGATCACACGTATAGAGTATGCTTTTCCTTAACACACCAGAACAAACTGTAATGTTTACTTAATTAGTGTCAGTACTAATTATAAACTTTTAACTGAAACAAATAAAAAAAAAAGGTTTCTTTGTATCCAGCTTGTCAGATAAATTTCACAAGTTCTTTATTACGGCAGATAGGCTAGTTCACATGTTATTCCATCTTTTTCTTTGCTTTCATTTATATGTTCTTAGAAATGTATATTTATTCAAAATATCTAAAAGAGCTTACTTTCATACTACAATTATAGTAGAATTGATATATGTAGTTTCAGTAATCTACAAAACTGTCAGCTTGAAAAACGCTTCTTGCTGAAACAACAAAATACGAAGCAAATCTAAAGTTATTGTGTTTTTTTATTAACAAACTATTTTTACAAAATTCTTGCTCTATTTTCAATGTTGTATTCTTTGTCTTTTTGTCATTCAGTTTGACAAACTAAATATTCTTTACCCTTTAAAATAAAATTGAGTTCATAATTATCATTCACTATTGTTCTCCTGAAAATAAAATAAAAACTTACTGCTATTTTAAAAGTTTTTAATACAATAGCAACAATCACATAGTCAACTTAAGTGCTCATTATTGTCCTGTAGGATAACTTGACAGTGTACCACATTCAAAACACTCAAATACTGTTAAAAATTATCGTTTCTTAATTATAAACACTGAAATTACCCTGATGAAAAGGGAACCACTCATTGAAAGTACTCAGGTTTCTTAAGTTGTTTTTAATTGCTCTAATCACTTATTAATGATCACAATGCACTTGTTATAATTTTAAAAAAAAATTGTTCCTTTACTTATTTGTTTGTTCTTGTATATGGTAAATTATCATAATTGTTTATGCCCCTGTAAGGCTCCTTACCAGTTTTTATGTACTTTAACACTTCTCAATAGATGGCAGCACAGTAGCAATAGCTATAAGGAATTATTAAGGACTGGATGTGAACCATAATTGTAATAATACCATTTTCCACTGGTTGGGCCTCTAGAAAATCTTATTTGCAAATTTTATTCTCTGTGGTAAGCTTATTGGTAGGAAAAAGGTTAGTAAGGCTATGTATTCACTCTAATATATTTCACATGCTTACTATCTTTTATAATACAAACAAGATTTAGTAACAAAATGCAGGCTATAATTTTCATCAAGTTTCTACACAACAACAACATGCTTTACCTTAGTTTGACATTAAACACACATAAAGCAAGACATGCACAGATTACTTGCACAACAATAAAACTTGCCTTTGGACACTCGATACAGTTCAGCTGAAGTGAACACCCCCGTGGCAACGATTGTATTCCTACACATTTCTGGGTAGAAAAACAATTGCATTCCATTAGCAATCTTACTTTTCATTCCACTGAAGTATAAGTTCCGTTCTAATTTCTATTATTCATTCTAAAACAGTAGGGACTTCTACTTTGTTTTCAACATGCACTATTCTAAGCTGTTATAAGATAAAAAAAATCCACTGATAGAAACTCAGGTTACACAACAACAAATCAAAACCTACTAAAAACTAATTAGTTAAAATGCAACCTCACAGGATCAAAATGACGTGATATAAGTAGCATTTCAGATAAGACTTCGGATGTCGTATTCCAGCCGACATAATGAGTTACGTTCAATATGGAGGACAAGTATTTAATTATTATTAATTTAAATTTTTCCTAAATGAAGCTCATCTGTGGTCAGTTAAAAGAGTAATGTGCTTAAAATTATAATCAATATAACTGCTAATGTGCTTTGTCAGGTTCAATTGTGTCTGTCATAACAGTTAGCAATAATTATTTTTAAGTGAATGTGCACCGAGTCGATCCATTTGACCGACCCGTATTGTAGAAGTTATGTTGAAGTGTCTTCACAAAACGTGGCAAACTTTTACTGAGCAGTGCAAGTCTGTTGTACACAAAAAAAATTACATTTACTACTACGTTTTTATACTAAATATATGTCCATGAAATGCCAATGTCAGTCTGTCTCGGACTCTGAAAAACATATCTAAAGTTTTTCAGTATTCCTGTGTATTGTATCTAGTCTTTTCTCTAACACAAATTGTTGTAATATCAGCAATGTAGGGGTAACATGAAATGTTGATAACTCTAACATATAATGTACAATATCATGTTAAATGGTACTCTTATATAAGAGTGCCCCCCTCTCATCTGTACACATAAAGTGTTATAACACGTATACTTTTATGTTTAATCTTTGGGTCACTATTCCAGTACCATATTCCATAATATTAGATCTTATAACAAAGAAAGAACCATGGCATTCTAGTTTTGGAACATTTTAAACTAGCATGAGGTAAATTTTGGTTAACTAACAGAAGAAGAAAAAGAAAAGTTGACGTCAAATGAAAAATGTAGAGGCACAATCATAACGTTGTCAGCAACCAATAAACTGATTACTGGACCAGAAACAGATTTAAAAACAAAATCCAGTTTGTTTTTTTATCATTTAAAGTGATTAAGACTAAATATTTCCAACCTTGCAATAAAAATTTAAACGGCCTGAACTGGTTCGTTCTTTCAAGTTTTTTGAGAACAGTTCAGTAAATTGTACAAGAAATAGGTCTACATAATTTTCATACAAGCTTTAGACATCGATTATAATCTACAATCGAGACAACGCAGCAAAACACAGCCTACAAAATATTTTTTGTTAGAGTTTTACCACAAACAGCCAGAAATAATAAGATCTGAATTTCAGCTACGGTCAACTGTAAGCCAAATAGTTGATATTTTTTACTAGAAACATTAAACTTAAAACTTCCTTTAAAACAATTAAAATAGCAATTAAATTAAACATACAGAAAGTCAATTAATTGAATAATAACTGTATTAATGCAGAATAGTAATAGTTAACACTAACAAGCTAGATTTGTTGGTAAAGAGTACAAAAATTCAGCTATCGGTAAAAAATGTTTTGCATAAATCTGTTTATTTTTTACATTTCCCAAAGCATACTGATCCTGCTTTACATACATGAAATGAAAAAAAAAATTAACTTTAATAAGTAACTACTACAGTTTTCTAATCTGACATCTTAATCTTTATCAGCCTAATTTAGTATATTTTAATCAGTATTTTACTAAATAATCATTCCCAATCCTAGTTTCTTAAAATAACTAAAACTTTTAAATGTTTAACATAAAAAATTAAGGCAATATTTTATTATTAATATAAATTTATCAATAAGTTTCCAAAAAGAAACTTATTAGGCCTAAGGTGTTTTTCTTTTGCATTCTTTACAACTACACTCACATTAGTATATTAAATCAATCTTACTACTCATCATTTGTTAGATGCACTGCAATGTTTATTTATTTGCAGATAAGAATTTCTCACTCAGATATCCTTGTTCAGTACTTAAAGTTCAGGAGGTTTAACGAACTATTGGACATGTCCAGACAAGACCATAGAATAGTATCACTGGCATTTGTAGACACTAAATAGGACCAAGTATTCACCTGGAATGATTATACGATCCGTTGTTAAAAGTATTCTTATTCCATCTTATTCAGTGTATAATTTAATTGTTTACCTTTTTCCTAACTTTTATTCATTTTATGCTCAATTACATGCAGAAGTATGTCCATCATATTGCATTTGTATTGAGGGGGATGACCCCCCTTGGAGAGCTATGCCACCAGCAACCCCCTATCTGAGCAACAGTCTTTTATATTCCTTACATTACAATTTTCATTATATGAAAGTGTTCACATGTTCTCCCCCAAAACTAACTCTTCCCCAAATAAAAAAATCCTAGAAACACTACTGCTTATATGTCCCCCTGTTTCCAGTATCCTGTGAAACTAATAAAACTATACGTTTAAATAAATATATCAACTATTTGGCAGATAAATATAAAGCTGAAACAATCCATTACTTCTCTAACTTATATTTTGAAATATGTACAACTGACAAAGATATTTGAGTTTCACTGACTGTGAATTCCGGAACACAGCACTTCATTACAATAATGATAATGTTACGTCTCTGTTCATTTTTTAATTTCCCGTAGAAATTCTTTCCGAGAAACTTCAGCGATACGAGTC